GGAAAGGGGCGGTGTCTGGAGTCGAGGCGGGCACCCTGCGGGAGCCGGGTGTGGACGTGGGCGGCTGGAGGTGGGAGACGGGGCTCTCACCAGGTGGAAGGCCCAGACCCTCACTGCTCTGGGCCTTGTCTCTGCGTTAGCGGATGCTGAGTGTGCAGCTGGTCGGGCGCCTGTTCGCGATGGCCGGTCGTGTCTGTCTGTCCCGGAGCAGCGCTGGATTGGGGACTGTCGGTCCCGTCGAGGCAGCCATTCGCACGAAGTTAGAGCAGGCCCTGAACCCCGAGGTGCTGGAGCTGCGCAACGAGAGCGGCGGCCATGCGGTCCCACCGGGCAGCGAGACACATTTCCGCGTGGCGGTGGTGAGCTCTCGCTTTGAGGGACTGAGCCCCTTGCAACGGCATCGGCTGGTCCACGCTGCGCTGTCTGAGGAGCTGGCTGGGCCGGTCCACGCATTGGCCATACAGGCACGGACCCCCGCCCAGTGGAAGGAGAACCCTCAACTGGACGCAAGCCCCCCTTGCTTGGGTGGGAACAAGAAAACTCGCGGAACCCCCTGAGCCCCCAGAGAGGGAAGACTAGGATCCTAATGGTTTGGGAATAAACTACGGGCTTTCTTTCCTTCAATACGGTCTGGTGTTTGTAAGGGACAAGGATCCTTGGGCCCCATTCAGCCAGCACGTACATATATATCCTCTGGAGATAGCAACTCATTTCAGATCAAAGCTTATCCAAGGAAAGAGAATCACTCACCACTGCCCTTGCCCTGGACTATTTAGGAAAAGCTGCCTAGTCGTTTTATGTTAAATTGTGACTAAGGAATCACCAGACCTGATGAGTTGGAAATAATCCTGTACATTAAAAGATAAATTATCATAGGAGATATACTGCTTTGTGTTGATAATGGCCTGTTGAATGAGTGCTACAGATGTTCTTGGGAAAAGATACCTGTAGCCTAGAGTAGGCAAGAAGGGCTTCATTGTGGGGGAGTGGCCTAATTGGATCTTTAAAGGAAAGCACAGAATTAAACCAGAAAAGAGAGGAAGGATGTTACAAGGAGGGGGAAGAGCTCAAGCAAAAGCATAGAAACTGCAGCCACCGATTGGATGAGGCAGGAGTTATAAGTATATTTGAATTTCCTACTGGGAGAATGTTTGGTTTTCTATCAGCCTACCCATTTCCAAAAGGATTTGCATTTGTTTCTCAGAAATATCCTTTATGAGGCGTGCCTGGGTGCTCAGTTGGTTAAGCACCTGACTCTTGATCTTGGCTCAGGTCGTGATCTCACGGTTTGTGGGTTCGAGCCCTGCGTAGGCCTCCGTGCTAATGGTGCAGAGCCTGCTTGGGATTCTGTCCTCTCTGCCCCTCACCTGCTTGTGCTCTATCTCAAAATAAATAAACTTTAAAAAAGAAAACAGAAAAATCCTTACAAGACAAGTGAAAACACACTAAGGCAGTGAAAAGATAACATGGAATATGAGTATAGAAGATGGAGAAAACTTTGTATAGCCGTTTTTCTTACAAGCCTTCTAAAGTCCTATTTCTGAGGGGAGCTCAAGTGATGTCTAGATAAGTACCTTGATGACCTTAATGTGGCAAGAGAACCTAGATACTAAAGAAAAAGATTAACATACATCATGACCATTTTGAGCTACAGTTTTGACTGCATCTGGTTGGACAATAGGAAGTCATTGAAGAGTTTTGAGGAAGGACATGCCAAAGAGCATTCTGAGGTAAATCCTTCTGGCAGTGATGTGTAAGGAGGTTAGCATAGGAGATTGGAAGCATAGAGAGCAACCAAGAGTGAAAATGGGACCCTGACTTCAAGGTCAGCTGTAGGAATGGAAAGGAAGAAGTTTTGAGAGCTACCATAAAAAGTCAGAAAATGTCTTGATTAGAACAGAAATATGAGGGGCTCCTGGGTGGCTCAGTCAGTTGAGTGTCCAACTTCAGCTAAGGTCATGATCTTGTGGTTTGTGAGTTTGAGCCCCACATAGGGCTCTGTGCTGACAGCTCAGAGCCTGGAGCCTGCTTCAGATTCTGTGTCTCCCTCTCTCTCTGCCCCTTGCCTGCTCACGTCTGTCTCTCAAAAATAAACATTAAAGAAAAAAAAACGTGAGGGAGAGTCAAGGGTAACACCCAGGCAGTGATTTCCAGATAGCCTAACATAAGAATTCCCATGGGAGCTTGTTTCAAATGTGGATTCTAGGTCCCCTCTCTTTAAAAAAAGGGGAGGGGGAATTCTGATTCCGCAAGAATGGAATCTGGAATCTATCTTTATTTTTTTATTAAATTTTTTTTTCAACGTTTATTTATTTTTGGGACAGAGAGAGACAGAGCATGAACGGGGGAGGGGCAGAGAGAGAGGGAGACACAGAATCGGAAACAGGCTCCAGGCTCTGAGCCATCAGCCCAGAGCCTGATGCGGGGCTCGAACTCACGGACCGCGAGATCGTGACCTGGCTGAAGTCGGACGCTTAACGGACTGCGCCACCCAGGCGCCCCAGGAATCTATCTTTAAAAGACACACAAGAGGATTTGGAGGAAAGCTGGCTCTATCCTCAAGAAACGCTCATAAATTTTTGTTTTGATTTAGGGTTTTTTTAATTTTATTTTTGTAAATTCTGTTTTATTATGGTGGTAACACAACATAAGGTCTACTCTCAACAGATTTTTAAGAATACAATTCATTATCATTGACTATAGGTACAGTCATACACATCTATAGGGCTTATTCATCTTGCTTAACTGAAACTTCATGCTCTTTGATTAGTAACTCCCCATTTCCTTCTCTTCCCTGCTCCTGGCAACCATCATTCTACTCTTTGATTCTATGAATTTGACTATTTTCAGCTAACTAATAGAATTATTTGGTATTTGACTTTCTGCGACTGGCTTATGTGACTTAATATCCTCATGATTGGTTCATATTATCACATATTGCAGAATTTCCTTTTTAAAAGCTGAATGGCTTTCCATTGTGTATATATACCACATTTTCATTATCAGTTCATCTGCCGATGAACATTTAGGTTATTTCCGTGTCTTAGCTATTGTGAATACTGCTGCAGTGAACGTGGGAGTACTAATGTTGCCAAGATCCTGATTTCAGGTTTTTTTTTTATGTTATTTTTGAGAGAGAGAGAACACGAGCAGGGGAGGGGCAGAGAGAGAGGGAGACATAGAATCCAAAGCAGTCTCTGTGCTGATCGCTCAGAGCCTGACGCAGGGCTCAAACTCACAAACCGTGAGATCATGACCTGAGCCGAAGTCTGATGCTTAACCGACTGAGCCACCCAGGCACCCCTGATTTTAGTTCTTTTGATAAATACCCAGAAGTGGGATTGTTGGATCATATGGTAGTTCTATTTTTAATTTTTTGAGTAACCTCCATATTCTTTAGCATAGCAGCTGCATCATGTTGCGTTCCCCCTGTGTACTAGTGTTCCAGTTTCTCCACATCTTCACTAACACCTTTAGTATTTTGTTGTGTTTGGGTTTTTTTTGGGGGGGGGGGATAGTTTTTGGTAATAGCCATCCTGACAGGTGTGAAGTGTCTCATTGTGGTTTTGATTTGCGTTTCCCTGATGGTTAGTGGTGTTGAGCATTTTTCCATATACCTGTTGGCTACTTGTGTTCTTCTTTGGAGAAATGTCTATTCAAGTCTTTAGCCCCCTTTTAAAATCAGGTTATTAGTTGTTTTTGCTATCGAGTTGCAGGACATTACTCCAAGTTTTCAAATCCCAGAGACTGAGAAGACCCTCCATCTGTAGAAGTGAAAAGGTCAGGATAAAGTGGCCAATTGAGGAAATAAATATGGTGCATCATATTATTCTGGCTTTCAGTTTGGGGAGAGAGGAATGGCATTTCCATCTCACCACCTTTCCTTCCAAGCAGGCAGAGGACGTAGGTGGAGTGGCAAAGAAGGAGATGTAGCCATTTTGGATCTTAAGGATTTATTTCCTTTTTATTTTTCATCAATATTTTTCATTTCATTTTTCACATCAACAGAGTTGGGTTTAGGGTGTCCCAGGAGAGCAGGAGAGATGGATGGGTCCCTCCAGGGGGTAGAAGGGAGAAGGCTGCGTCCAGCAAATGAAGGGTGAGGAAAGGGGGTACACACTCATACACTGGGCACTGGAGAAGGCAGTCCTTTGAGCACAGACACCAAAGAGTTAAACAGTCCCCACCTGGGTCAGTGTTACAAAATGTGGGGGAGTGACTATAGGGTGGGGGCACCAGACGCAGCATGAGGAAGATGAATTTGGATTTTTCGTTGTTGTTTTCACTTTTTTCCTTTTCACTTTTTTTTTTTTTTTTAACGTTTTACAAACAGCTAAAAACTACAACACATCACAGCTACAGTGGAGGGCAGGAGGGCACCAAAGAAAGCAGCCACACAGAGTGGGGTGGGGCAAGGGCAGCTTAACCTACAGGGGGTATCTTGTAGAAAGGGTGAGACAGGGAAACTGAGGCTTCTGGTCCCACATTAGGGGTCCCTGGCTTATTGTCTAACCTTCTTCCCCCTTCAGAGGAGTCCCTGGGAGGGCCCCTGCCTCCTGCCCCTGCCCCAGCTCCTTGTGCTTTTTGATCTGCTGGTTTGACCATATGCCTGGTTTCTTTCCCTCCCCTGCTACCCTGCGTGTGAGGGGACAGGTTGGGGGTGGGAGGGCAGCTGTGCTGTCCCTGTCTGTGCTATAGTGGGTGGAGCCTCTCACTCCAGAGGCCTGTGCTTCTTGAGGGAGGGGAGGATTTGGACCTTGTCAGGTGCCCTCAGGTCTCTCTAGACTGTGGGACTCTTATCCTAGCCTGGCCTGGGGCACCTCCCTCCCAGGCCTGGCACAAAAATAAGATTAGGGGAGGTACTGTGGGAGGCAGAGTAGTGTGTGTGTCCACTGAGATTATCCTTGGCTGTATCTTAGGACAGTATGGTGACACCCCGCCCCACGGCACATACACACACGTACATAAGTGTTACACATGCATTCACACACACAGTCCTGCTGAGCTGCCTCAGAACTTAATATATAAATAAATAAGAATCAGAAAGCTAATTTAATAAAATTCAGGCTTCTTACTTCTAGCCCAAATTGAGGGGAAAGTGGAGGCCAGGGGGCTGAGGTTTATTGCTACTCCCCCAGCATCCAACAGGTGTGAGAGGGCACCTGCGGCCTTTCTGACTCTTAAGTTCTTTTGGTCCATGGACTACACCAAGCCCCAGCTCCCAGCATAACCACATGCCCATGGTTTCACCAGGGCCTAGGCAGAGGGAATGAGGGGGAGGGCAGGAAGCCTGTGCTGGAGCCCCTGGAGCCAGGAAGAGCTAGGGCCCCTCACTAACACTGGGGGAGAAGGGTGTGCACGTCAAGGGGTGGGGAGTAGAGCTGCATCCCAAAACTGGGATGAAGGAGCCTTCCCTGTATCCCTGCCCACGGGGTCACACACATGCATACGCACACACACATGGCTAAGACACTGAACACAGGGGCGTGGGGAGTGGGGACTCTGGGGCCAGGATGGCAGGGCAGGGAGGGAAAAGGAGGAGCTGTTGGTCTCACAGTGTGCCTGCCACCCTCAAAGGCCCTGAGGCCCTCTCACTGCAGCACCTGCCCCCGGGTCTCAGGCAGCTTCAGGGCCAGAGAACTACCGAGGGCAAGGGCAGCTGAGGCAAACAGGATGGGGGCAGCCTTGGTGATTCCCACAAAGGATGTGAAGATGCTGATCCCCAGCACAGCTGCCAGCTTACAGAGGGCATTCAGGAAGCCGAAGGCTGTGGTCCTGCTCAGGAGACCCCCAGTGCAGTGCAAAGGGGAGACAAAGGAAGAAGCATAGGAGGGTTTGCAGGGGACAGGTGAGTAGGTGGGAAAGTGAAGGAGAGATGGCAGGCAGTGTGCAAAAGGGAGATGAAGGATGGAAAGATCAGAGAGGTGAGGCATGTACATCAGGGAATACAGATTGGGAGGCAAAGGGAAAAGAAGACCAAAAAATTAGGTTAATAGTTCAGGCTGCAAGGAGTGAATACAAAAGCTACCAGCTCTTAGAGCAGAAAATCAATGGGAAAGTATATTCTGTTAACCCTACGGATGATTTCCCATTCAGCCGCCTCCTCACCCCACTTTCCCGCCGCCGCCGTGTAGACCCTAAACCGGCTGCCCTGCCCCCACGACACTCCAACTACCTCTTGTCCGAGGGGTAGAGTTCAACAGTCAACACGTCCAGCGCGTTCCAGGATGCAATGCTGACCCCCCCAAAAAGGCAGAGCAGAGCGATCATGGCTGACTCGCTGTTCCCAAAAGACAGGAAGAAGCAGGAGACACAGGACATCACGCTGGAGCCAGCTAGAGCCAGGAAATGAGGGAGTGGCATGAACCTGGCCAAGTGATGCTCATCCACAACCCACCCTGTGCCCTCAAACTAGGTTTGAGGGAAGCCCAAGATGAGATCTTTTTCCCAGAGTACTCAAAAGGAAGGCGCTTCACCCATCCCTATCCTTCCTTATAATTATATTTTTATTGATAATATCAGTAACAACCATTTCTTCAATGACAGCTATGGGTCAAGCAGCTTGATGCTTTATATGCATTGATCTAATACATCAACCCAATGGGGTAGGTACTATCATCACCCCCGTTTTGCATATGTCACAGCTGGGCTCATAAAGTAACTTGGCCAAGGTTAAGTGGTGGAGCTGAGATTCAACACCCATAACCTCAAAGCCGGTTGCACTTGCTAATCTGTCTACCTCCTTTTTCCCCCAGAGAAACTTCCAGGTCAGGCCCCACCCCATCTTGCAGCCAAGACCTAAGCAGAAGACACGAGAGCGAGAACCTTCTCTAGCTAAGCTATTCCTTCAGAATAAGGTAAGAAGCCTGTTGACAGCCTCACCCTGCTCCCCAGCCCCCTTATCAGTTCTGACACACCACCACCCACCCACCCCCTTACCAAGCATTCGGAGCCTGCCAATCTTGTCCATGAGCAGGGCAGACACGATATTCCCAGGAAGTACAGCCAGCGTCCCCAGGAAACTGACAAAGTACACCATGTAGGCGCCTTCACCAGTCCCTGTCACGTCTAGTGGGCAGCCCTCCTTGTTGTGCAGGAACGTGCTGTTCACCAGACGGCTGTTCACGAACTTGTACTCAAACAGGTCTGCGGGCAAAAACCAAGACAGGAAGGCAGTCATGGCAAATGTGAGAGGGAGGGGGAAGCTGCTACTGCTTATGGCTCAGGACTCTGCCTTTGTGGGGTTAGTTGCGGGGGGGGGGGGGGGGGGAAGGGGCTCTCAAAACTGCTCAGGGCCTTCATTGTAAAACATCAAATAATATCACCATAGGAACTAGAAATCTTTACAGCAGAAAATGACCATAGTCTATGAAATGAAACAGTGGGACTGGCTGTTTCCAAGTTTTCTCGTTAATAATCTTTGCTTCTTATTCATTCTTTTGGTCTGCCCTAGCTGACTATAAGCAGTAGCAGTGCCATGGGTTTAGGAAAAATTACCAAGAAAAATATTAAAAATCATTAAAAGCCCTTTCCATTATTTTTCCCTGCAAGTTGGGAAAAACTCACCCAGTGCTCCATTAGGGGTGGGAACCTCAGTCTAGCTGGCAAAGTAGCATTTCATGTGCATGTAGTTTGAGAATCACTGTTTTAAAAAACCGGACTAATGTAATGATTCGCAACCTTTTACCCAGAAAATATTCCTTTTTGTTGTTGTTGTTTTTCCCCTGAAGGCCCTGTTTGAATGAGTTTTGCCCACTTCAAAAGTACGCTGATAACAATGCAGATTTGCTTTAATTCCAGCTCAAAGGTAAAGAAACTTGATGTTTTTGCCAGATATTCTTAAAACTATTACAGAAAAATGTTCAGTGTCTGTTCAGTTTTTGGAATTATTGGTGGTAGATAATAGGCCCCCACACCACTTTCCTACAGGGCCCCAGAGAGCTCAGTTTGTGAACCCTGAACTAGGGAGTGAGGAACGTTCCTTCTCCCCTCTTCAAGGTCCACTCAACCCTTTGGTCCGACAGGCACCAGCCAAGGCATCTTACCAGTATTATAGAATACAGTGTTGATGAATGTGCAGTTGCGGAAAAATGTGTTGCTCGAAGTGACATCCTCAAAATAACACTCCTCAAATAGGGAATCCTCAAAGGACACTGACTTCAGACGTAGCCCAATGAACCTGTAAGGCCAGGATGATGAGAAACACTTCCCCCTTACCCTCATACCCTCCTCCAAGACTCACTCCCTTGGAATTGAGGAGAAACCACAGGTATTTACTCCCAAAGACCCTGTCTAAAAAACTCCCAGACCCATGCAAGAGACAAGGGGTAGAAGGAACAGGGAAGAAGTGAAATGTAAGCGTCCCCACGTACTTGTCATTGAAGTACTGTCCCCCTCTGTGGATCTGATTCTCCAGAGTGAAGTTAAAGGTCACATGCTCTACATGCTCCCCAGAGAACAGTTTGGTGCGGGCTTCGTAGTCCACCGCCTGGAGGTGGCGGATCATGTCAGGAAACCAGACAGTCAGGCCATAGTAGCTGAAGAGTCAAGCGCGATGGAATCAGATGGGCTCACGATTAGAACCAGAGGGTCCAGAATGAGGGGGTGGAGAGTCAGGACCTTGCTTGCCTCTCCAGTCTCATCCCTCAGCACTCCTCCCTTCATTGCTGTTGGTCTCAGGGACTTCAGGTTCTTCTGCCCACCCACTGTACTCTCATCTCCCAGCCATTTGCTCCTCCATTGGCCTAACAGTCTCCCTGCCACCACCCCACCCCAGACTGTCTAACCTCCGTTCATCCCTCAGGACTTAGATCCCCACTGCCCCCACACACCTCCTCACCTGAATGACATGGTGAACCACACACCCATCATCATCAGAGTGATGCGTCGATATTCTGGACCAAAACAGGAGAGGAAATTCCCCCAAACCTAGGTGGAACAAAACAAAGTCAGATAGCAGCTGTACTGACTTCTAACGCTCCCACCCCAGTTCCCCCACTTTCTCCCGTCCCCCTTCCCTTCAGTTCACCCCACAAACAGGCCTTTGTCTCCGCCTCTCCCACTCCCTTCCCTCTCTTCACCACACCGTCCTTCATTACCTGCCCTCCCAGGCTCAGGGCCCGGACCCCCCAGCGCTGGTACCAGGTCCCTGTGTCTGACTGGATTTCAATCAACTCATCCTCCTGATGAATTGTCTTAATGTGAGTTACCTGGGGTCAAGAGAAGCGGTTAGCAGTCACATAGTCTATTTCCCAACCCCATCCAGGGGCTTCAGTTTCAAAACAGTAGCAAAATGGCAGCAGGGGGTGGATGCGATACTCTGAGAGAGGACATTGAGGGAGAATGTGGTGGGAGATGTCTAGGGAAGCATGGGGTGGTATCCAGAGAGGGGCTGGGTGGGGCTGGGGCTTGAGGGCCTTGGAGGTTGAGGGGAGGGGCTCTGGCTTACTGAGAAGACTCGCTCAGGATGTCCCTTGGCTCGCATGTTGGTGTCATGAACCTGCTTCAGCACCATCCAGGCCTCATCATGCTTCCCGTTCTAGAGCCACAGACACAATTCCCACAATTCCCAGGTTAGCTCCTCCCTGACCCAGGGTAATAGACCCCCTTTTCCTCCAGTGTGGCTTCTGTAGTCACAGGACACAAAAAGTCTCCCACCCCTACCTCTGACCTGTGGGTGTGTACATCACCCACAATTAAAGAGCCCCAAGCAGGGGTACAGCAAAATGTAATAAGACTTGAGCAAGCGTCGGGGGAGTCCAGGAGACAGCTACAACTACAGGTCCTAGGGATCCCCTGGAACAATGGAAAGAGAAAACTGAAGACAAGGGAATTGCTGGCAAGGGGCAGGGAGGTTGTCAGAGGAGGGACAGCATCCTAAGCTTCTGGACCAAGATCTACTTGGAGGGGGAAGAAGCACAGGGTGGGAACTTCTCTTGAGTGATAAAGTCAGGGGCAGAGCGCCCACCTGCAACATCTTAAACCACCCATGGTTGGGCAGGTACCCTGGTTTCTCCACCCACAGAGCCCCTCTGGAGATACAATGTAAGAAAAAGGAAGCAAGATAAAGTCCCCAGGAGTATGGGCCCTGTGAGGGTCCCACAAACCAAACCCACCGTGAGTGTTTGAGCACAGAGCCCCCTGCTGCCCCTCCCCCAGCCTAGCCCTGGCCCCATTCACCTCCAGGAAGAAGCGGGGGCTCTCAGGCTGTGTGGTCAGAGCTCCGATGGCAAACACAGAAGGGAAGGCGCAGACGAGGACAAAAACCCTCCAGCTGTGGAACTGGTAAGCGGACCCCATCTGAAAGCTCCACCCTGGCAGGGACAGTCACAGCATCAGAAAGGCCAGAGGCTGGGGGCTCCCACCACAGGGCACACAGGAGAAGAGGGAGAGAGGCTGGGGTGCATTCCCCGGGGACTGCCTACCGTAGTGGGGGATGATGGCCCAGGCCATAGCAGCTGCATACACTCCACCAATCATCCAAAACATGCAGAGCCAGCTCAAATGCTCCCCACGTTTCTCCTGGGCCAGAAACTCCGAGAAATAAGAGAAGACAATGGGGATGGACCCTCCAATCCTGGGGAGCATTGTGAGAATTCAGCATTAGAAAATGGCCCTATTTCCGATCCCCTGCCCCAGTGCTCTGGATCCCCAAGTGCCTTTCATCTTCCACACCTTGTTAAAGAGACTTCTCACACAGTGCCCTATACACTCCCTCACCACCAGCTGTTATGCACCCATCCTCAGGACCCTGGGGAACAGGCAGGGAGGTCTGAGGGGAAGGGAAGGAACAAACATTGAACCTTGAAGATGGCTACTGAGTTGCAAGAGACAGAAGATGATTACAGAAAAGAGGGAAAATCCCCACAGGAAAAAGCTAGGCAAAGAGGAGTCCGAGGGCAGGGATGCGGGAGCAGGCCAGAAAAGAGCTTGCAGACAGGGCAAAGAATGCACGCAGACGGCTCAGGGAGTGTGGGAGTGTGGTGGGTCAACGCGTCACATTTCTGGCAGCTGTGGGTGTTAACAGAAAGGTCTGCTGTCAAATGCAGGAAAGATGGAGACTCGGAAGGGGATAACTCCGGGGTTCACAGGCACCCAGGGGTACAGCTGAGACCCACCAGGCCTCTCGTCATGGAGCCAGGCTCAGAATGGAACTGGAGGGTGGGGTGGAGGACTCAGGAGTGGACGAGACATGGAATGGTGCTCTGGGCAGGCGGTAGGTGGGTCCAGGACAGGGGGAAGCTGGCCTAAAGACGGTAGGAGAAAGGAGTTCATTCATTCAATTCATACATATTTGAGATGCATCTGGTGTGCCTGGCACTGTGCTGGGTTCTGGAAACATAACGGTGACAAAGGCACAGTCCTCCCTCAGGACTGCCTCCAGGGGCTTAGGAGGTGGCCACTCACCCAACCCCAGAAAGGAGGCGGCAGAAGAGGAAAGTGCCATAACCCTGGACGAAAGATGAGAAAAAGGCGAAGACGCTGTTGACTGAGAGCGAGATGAGCAGACATTGCCTCCGACCCAGCCGATCAGCCAGACCTCCCCAGAGAAAGGCTCCCACCATCATGCCCAGGTAGACTATAAGGCCTGCAGGGAGGGAAACAGAGACAGCAGAGGTATGAGCAGACACGCCTCAGTTCGCTCACTTTTTGAGCATTAAATGAGCTAGAGCTGCAGCAGAATGGATTGAGGAGCTGGAAGACTTCTAGGATAGGTAAGTCTATCCAGAGATGAGAGCAAGTGAGAGTTCTGTCTTTGCTCATGGAATGTCATCTCTGCAGACCAGAGATTCAAAGGCAGGAATGCAGACATGGGAGACCCCCAGAATTCTTTCTCTTCCTCCTGCTCTCTTGCTTGCTCTCATCTCTCATTGTGTCTCTCTCTCTGTCTCTGTCTCTCTCACACACACACAACACACCCCCATCTCTGGCTTGCCTAGAAGGAGTAATGGATCTACCCAAATTCCCAGACCTTCCAGGGTCCCCTCTCCCTCCCTGCCTTGACGTCCTGAAAGCAGCAGGAGAGATCTCCTGTGTCCCTAGGAAAGCACCTCCATTTCTTCAG